GACCTAAAACTGTGAAATGGACCCAATAAAACCAGCCATAACCCACTGATTACGATTAATTTCCAATGTTTTCTCTATGCAATATATTCGGCAGGTGTTTGCTTTATATTGACAAATTTACACTTAATGTGAACTTTCCTTTGCCAAACCAGTCTTGATGAATACAAGCCAACATGTCAAAATGTTGTCTACAGTGACACTTTCCTGTTAAAAATTTTTGACCACTGCAACCTCCCATATTCCATTGAACTTCTGTGGTGTCAAGAAAAAAAAACTAGTTTAAGGGGAGATGTGAGTCTAGATTTCACCAAAGCATTTGATAAGGTACCTCATAAACGCCTGTTACTGAAACTTTACCACTTAAACTTACACCCGCAGTCTTAATCTGGACCCAAGAATTCTTTCATAACCGTTCCCAATCTGTCCTTGTAAATTATCAGCTCTCCAACTTTATTCCAGTTACATCAGGTGTCCCTCAGGGTTCCGTCCTTGGCCCCTTGTTATTTCTAATATGTATTAACGACCTACCTACGAACTTAACTTGTAACATACGCATGTTTGCTGATGACTGCGTTTTGTACCGCACAGTAATGAATGTATCTGATCAAATTAGCCTCCAAAGTGACATTAACCATGTGCAGCGTTGGTGTGAACGGTGGCAAATGGAACTTAATCCTAACAAATGTAAACTTGTGTCGTTTCAGCGTCGCCATAACCCGCTCACCACTTCCTACGTAATCTCTAACACTTCTGTTCAACTTGTGCAATCCTACAAATACCTTGGCCTAACTTTGTGCAGTGACCTAACTTGGGCTGAGCACATCCGGACTATCATCGCAGCTGCTAATCGTACTCTCGGCTTCCTACAACGTCATCTGCGCAACGCACCCCGCCATGTAAAATTATTAGCATATCAGTCCCTCGTAAGAAGCAAGCTTGAATATGCATCGTCAATTTGGAGCCCACAACACGCGTATCTCATTACTGCACTCGAATCACTTCAAAGCCGTGCTACTAGATTCTTTCATTCCTCATATGCCTATCACATTAGCGTGTCATCTTTAAAAGAAGAAATTGGCCTGTCCCCTCTATCTTCCCGCCGCCGCATTGCCACCCTTTGCTTGTTTGATAAACTTTTTCACAGTCCACTTGCAATCGAACCTTACATTTCCCCCCCCCATTTCGCAGGTCATATCGCACTGGCCATGTCTTTCAAGTTGCCCGTCAACGTTCCCGCACCGTTACTTTTGCTGCCTCATTTTTTCTTCGTGCAGCAAAAGACTGGAATGACCTCCCCCACCATATTGCAGCAATCACCTGTCCATCAACATTTATGCATAGCATCACAAGCCATTTTTCAAGCTAATTCATGGCTTTTTTGTACGTTTTTTATAACACCACCCCTTATGTAATGTCCCCCTGGGGACCTTTAAGGTAATAAAATGAAATGAAATGAAAACTAGAACTCATTGTCTAGTGTCCTGTGGAAATTGTCACCTGGCTGCTAGCCACTGCATTTCGCATGATTTCAGTGAGGCCACATGACTCAAAATGAGCATGATTTCCAAGCTCTCATGGTGGAAGAAATCATCCTAAAAATGTACCTTTTCTACATAGATGAGGTTTCACTTATATTTTTAAAATGCGTTGTTCTCAAGACCCATTTTTGGGCACCTTCTTGAGTACAGACATCCATGTTTTTGGTATGTCTGATCGCCCAATCGGGATGAAATTTTGCCTACGTATTCCTTAGCACGTGAAGATGCAAGTATCTCCTTTAAAACTTGATATCGCCTGTATAAGTACTACAATTCGAAAGTAAACAGTTACTATGAGCTAGGGGTTCTAAGAATTTTCAGATTACAATTTTCCTGTGTATTATGATGCCTTAGAAGCACTTTCTTAATGAGTTATTTACATTCTATGGTTAATGTGGAGCAATATCAGTTACTAATGGCTCAGAAACATGAAACTTTGGTAGCATAAAAAGATTGTCCAAAATGAACTACACATATTATGGCACAGAATACAACCTGTGCAACTTACTATAAAATTAATTACTTATTTGAAGTCAAGTACAGAAGCCTATATATACAGGAAAAATTTCATTGCTCTAGGCAACTGATTAACAAAACCTTTTTTTTTTTAACTCGTGTCTCCTTAGTAACAGTACATATCTGAAATGCCTAGCTTATGACTTGAAGAAGTTATGTATGAATGTATGAATACATAAGTTATGTATGATAAAGCAGGAGTGTATGTCGTGAGTTATGTATGAATAAAGCAGGAGTGAAGGCACATTGATATAGCAGACAGAGTTGAAATATAGCATTACAAGCCTGGCATAACCTGTTATACAGAAATAAAACAAGTCACAACATGGCCGCAACTAGGGGGGCTGATGGGGTTCTGTGACCCATCCTCCATCCCCTTCCCCTGAAAAAAAATTGCCCGATTTTAGCTCCTAGTGACACCCATATACCAACACCGACAACTAAATAAAAGGAAGAAGCATGAAGCAAATGCACAGTAAATGTGTGTTGTATAAATGTGGGAATAAATGCATCAATAAACAATGAAATGAAAGAAAACAACCAGCAAGTGCTTTGCATACCAGGTAACTGAGCCTTCCCCACCCTACTAGCTACAGCCAAGAGACGCAACTTAAGGCCGTCCAGCAGGTCTCGGCAGCCCTAGAGAGGCAGCGACCGAGTGAAACCCAGGACAAGGGGGGCAGCACCTTCAGGAAGGAGGCGGTGACCCTTTCGATCTTGCAGAAATAGCGAGGGAGCAAGACCTCAAGGAACACATCGCACCAAGACCGACGTAGTGGCTGCGTCACGATAAAAGCTCGTCCTCCCTGTGTGGTGGGAACATAATGGACTGCAGGAAACTCCAATAAAGTTGTTCTCGCCAGATCAACATAATTCTGGACAGACACACATTTTACTAAAACTGATTCGAATGCCTTTGTGAAAGAGATTTATAACTTTCTTCATGAAGAAACTATTTCAAGCTCTCATGTAAAGAACTCAGTGCAATCTTCTAAACAATGAACAATGCATGGAAATGTCCCCAAAAGTGATAGGGGGAAACTGAGGCAGTGGTCATGGCTGAGACTGCGTCAGGGATACTATTGGCAGCGTGCTTCCAGGCAGAAAGTGTTACGCTAGCTGTACAACCAGGTTTGGCTTAACTGTGGTGCTTCCTCCAATATTCTCTGGAACTGAGCAGGCAGGTGGCAGAGGCTTTGAGGGCATACACTTGAAATTGCTGGAGCTGTTCAGATGCTGAGCTATTGTATCTTTTTTTTTTTTCCAGAAAATGCACATTACTTTTGTGAAGAACCCTGCATATACACATGCACAATTAAAAACTTTGACAAAGTGTAAACATCCCCCCTTCCCACTCTGCAATCCTTGGCTATGCCAGTGTTGCATTAGCATGATTACTTTTTTTGCAGAGTATAAACTTGTACATTCAAAAGTCACTCAGGAAGCATCAACTCAACATTGCAAAGCTGAAAGTACAACAATACCGAATTAAGAACAGTTATATGCACATGATTTATTATTGTGACAGCAATTATATGAACACTCCTGGCTGGATTTTGTTGCTGGCGTCACTCACCGTATATGTATACGTATATATATTTATGAAAATGCAAGAAAGAAAAAAATCCAGAAAAAGACTCCGGTGCGAGGAATCGAACTTGGAACCTCTGCGTCGTGAGTGCAAGCGATTACCCATGAGCTATGGTGGAGCACGTCCTTAAATATGCAAACGGGAAGCTATTTATATCTACCACTTACCACTGGTGAAGGGCATCTTGGAGGGGAACTATCGTGTTTTCAGCATTAACGGCAAGATGTAGCAATAAGCGCGCGCCCTCGTTTCCGCGTACTTTGCCTCGTGGATGGAAATGGGTGGTCGTGAAGCCCCTGAATACACATGTGCGCCCTTATCTCGCGGTTGGGAGCATCTCATGTATTGGCTGTCCTTAAGTTTTCACCGGAACGATTCTGTCTAGTAGTTACCGGGCGCACAAAGGTCACTGAAATTGTTGCACAGTCTACGTTTCCAAAAAGAGCGCGCTTTTCAGACACAGCGAAGTAACAACTGAAACACTTATTCGCGTTCATCTGTACCTGTGAGTACGTTTCGTGCGTTATTTGTGCGTGAGAAAAGCAAGGCATGTTTCGATGTGCTTGCCATTCTGCGCGCGACTTTCCAATTTGTTGCTATCATGTTCATTGGTTCGCCTTTGCGGCAAAGCTGTCACTTTTGCATTCTCTCTACTTAGTTTAGCCGTGCACAGGCAAACACAGGTTTCTTAATTTTATTGCTTCAATTCAAGTAGTGATCAAAAAATTACAGAAAAAAATCTGCACAAGAGGGTGATCTAATCAAATTTTCAGTCACCTTTTTAATTAAACTCTATATTTCTTATTACTGAAAGAACCTTGACCTGCCATGGTGTCCTAGTGGATAGAGTGTTCAACTGCTCACCCAAAAGTTGCGGGATTAAATTTGTGTTGTGACAGCCGTATTATGAATGGAGGCAGAAATGCTAGAGGCCCGTGTACTTGGATTTAGACACACGTTAAAAACCTTAAGTAACTGAAATTTCCAGAACTCTCCTCCACAGCATCCTTCAGAACCACATTGTGGTTTTGTTGCATAGCCCCACCCCCTCCCTACTTGAAAAAAACAAACAGAAAAAAACTGCAAGAACCTAGAACATCAACAGGAAAACGTGCCCACTTTCCGTTGTAGAAGTGAATTGAGGGATTTCAGGTTACCTCGAGCATACTAATATTGTCACGACATCAAAACAGAGGTCTTGCCGTAGAGACTGAGACACCAGAAGCAGGTCAATTTTTTTTAATTAGAATGCGCAAGCGAGTTCTTCTTCTTCGTCCATTTCGTAGTCCTTCGTGGCACATGCACAACTGTCATCGTCTTTCTTGGGCAAGCACGTGACAATATGCATGGGTGAACTATTTCATAAGCAAGGTAATTACTTATTTTTCAGTGCTTAACACCACAGCACTGGAAACTTTCACATAATCCACTTTCATGGCAAACCAAACCTTCAACTTCCTGGAATATCTGCAATGTCATCTGAAGGCACCTAAGACATTCTTATGGATAATGATTTCTCTCTGAATTCAACAGCCAAGAGATCTGAAAACTTTAGGCACATTAACCCTTTATTGGATGCATTATGAAACCGACGAAAAAAATTCATTTTCCAACTTTATATACCAGCCTTGTTTCTGTAGTTACATTATATAAAAATTTAACTAGAATGCATGCATATAGACATGTTACAAATTTGTGACACGCCACAAGAGCGAAGATCTTGCAACAAAAACGTACTCAAGAACTTCGTAGCATGTCATGTGCCACCTCTTTAGTGCGTAGACGCCAGAAAAAATCATAGAAGACTGAAGTTACGTCAATCAGGTTAGAAGAAATGAAGTGACAGATGTTGCACATGCATCATGCTTTTCACCATCAGCTACACAACACCTGCTTTACGCATAGAATTTTTTACACAACACAGTACTAGATATTTCCTACTGTAAGCAACATTCCTTGTGAGTACTTCATAACCGGCGTTAAAGGTGGGACACATTTCGTGACTTGCTTGCTAAGAGCTTTCTGGTATGTCCCGAATTCACAACACACGTCAGTAAAGGGTTTTGTAAAAGGTCACCTTCTAGCAGAATAAATCAGTCATGTAACCTGCAGATTTGAAGCACTGACACCCCAGCCCACCTGGGCTTCAGTGGGATGAACTCCTGAGATATGGCGACTGAGGGTGCTTTTCTGTGAAAAGGATGCATTGCAGTAGATGCAGGAATATGGACGCTCTCCTGTGTGGGTATGCATGTGCTCGGTGAGGCTGCGTTTTCCCGCAAATGACGCATCACAGTGTTCACAGGAAAATGGACGCTCTCCTGTGTGGGTGCGCATGTGAACCCTGAGGGTGTGCTTCTGTGAAAAGGATGCATCACAGTGGCCACAGGAAAAGGGTCGCTCACCTGTGTGGGTGCGCAAATGTCGCGTCATGTTGCTTCTGGTTGAGAAGGATGCATTGCAGTAGCCACAAGAAAAGCGACGTTCGCCTGAGTGGGTGCGCATGTGCTGCACGAGCATGCGTCTCTGCGCAAAGGCTGCATCACAGTGGTCACAGGAAAACGGACGCAATCCTGTGTGGATGCGCATGTGGCCCCTGAGGTCAGACTTTCGTGCATAGGATGCATCGCAGTAGAGACAGGAGAAAGGACGCTCTCCTGTGTGGATGCGCATATGTTGCTTGAGTTTGCTGCTGGATGTGAAGGATGCATTGCAGTGAACGCAGGAAAAGGGACACTCTCCTGTGTGGGTGCGCAGGTGTTTCGTAAGGCTGTGTCTCAGTGAAAAGGACGCATTGCACTGGGTGCAGGAGAAAGGACGCTCTCCTGTATGAGTGCGAATGTGCTGTTTGAGACGGACATTCACAACAAATGTAGCCGGGCAAAGGTGACACTGGAAGAGATGCTCCCCTGTGTGCCGGCGAAGGTGCATTTTCATGTTTCCCTTAATCCTGGTCGTATAAGCACACTGCCGGCAGGAATGCAGTCCATCTTCTACAGACACGAGCGAATGGTACTGGTCACGGGGTTCCTCAGAAACGGAACCTGCATAGCCACAGGAAGCACAGCAAGGCAGTGCAAATCATAGATCCCATACTATACAAAGAACTAAAGTTGAGCAGCAAAATAACAAAAATTTCTGCACTTATAAATAAGTGTATACGACAACCTTCACCATGCGAATGTGTTACTTTAACAAAGTAGTACATTGATTCATGACATGTCTCATACAAGTTGCCATCTATCTATGCACAGATACTTAACTTCAACGACGCAAGTACCACCAAAAACGAAGGTGTGAGAAAGAATTTCAATATTATACCAAAATAAGAAGATTTTACTGTGTAAATAACATAATACCTACAGTCTTACGTGGCAAAATCACACGGTTATAAGGCATACAAGCACATAGCTTTGGAAATTTAGCCTACCTTGGGCCCTCTATTGTGCTCCTATGTCTGCCTGCATGCACCTGTGGTATTTCGCCCCCACCATAATGCGACCACTGCCACAATATAAAACGCACGTTCTCACTCTAACCCATTTAACTAATTATTAGTGTTTTGCATAGAAGCATTTAAATAATCCAGTAGAGCATAAGCACCAAATAAAGTATGAGCAACATTTAATATGAAACAAACAGGACGACTACATATTGTGCAATCATTGAACACTTCCTTGTCTTTTACTGCCATAACGAGTCTGCAAAAGCCTGAATCCTATAAAACAAGCACCACATTACATAATAAGATTTAAGAAACACTACTCAGTTCATTACGATCATGACAAAGATAACTAAAAAGTGCACGTTACCTTCACAGAAAGTAACTGTATTCGCATCATGTTCATCATCAACACTGGGCTTCTCGTCCACCAACGCCGTAACTTCGTTTGCATAATGCCTGTGATCACCATTCGGCTTCAAGTCTGCAGTAATTACTTCATTGGCATAATGTTCGTGATCAACACACGGATCCACGCCCACCGTAACTTCATTCACATCAAGTCCATCATCAACACTGGGTTTCTCGTCCACCAATGCCGTAACTTCATTTGCATAATGCCTGTGATCACCATTCGGCTTCAAGTCCGCAGTAATTACTTCACTCGCATAGTGTCCGTAATCAACACACGGATCGACGTCCTCCGTAACGTTATTCGCATCAAGTCCATCAAAAACACTCGGCTTCTCGTCCACCAATACCTTTTACTTCATTCGCATAATGTCCGTGATCAATGAACGGCTTCAAGTCCACCGTAACTTCATTCGCATAATGCTCGTGTTGAACACTTGGCTTCACGTCCGACGCCAATTCATTCGCATAATGCCCATGGTCGATGCTCGGCTTCACGTCTATCGTGACTTCGTTCGCATAATGTCCGTGATCAACAGTAGACTTCACGCCCACTGCAACTTCATTCGCATAATAATTTTCGGCAACCACGTCAACCTTCGGCTTCTCATCCGTCGATGCACTAATCGCTGTCGGAGTGCCGTCCATTTCACCATTGCCTCCTCTAGTTAGGAGGCTATGACGCACAGAGAAGGCCATTATTACGCACGTTTCCCCTGCAGGACCTCGCGGTTTCACATTGCTAGGGTGGCCACCCTAACATTGCGCAGCTGCCACGACCGAAGTTACCACTCACACCTCAAATAACCCATTCAAATAACACCACAGCACCAGCACACCTACCAATCGAACGGACCTATGAGGTCCGTTCGATTCGCCTGCACCACGTGAACCAGGTGCTGCACTTTGCCATTCGTTTTAGCGATGCAGCAGTGACGACTTCTGAATTCTGCCATTAGTTTTGAAAAGTGCAGAAAAGGTGCAGCACTGGTTTACAATTTTCCTGCACCTCCTACGCCGACGATGCCGGCTTGGTGCAGCCGCGCGTGCAGCTGAGCAGACAACGCAGCACTTGGGCGTAGGTGGCTGCCTCTACAAACGCGGTGTGTTTTTTCAAGATGTTTGCACCTCATAAACTGTCCGAATGTGCGATTCGCCATCGGTCAGTGTGTGCTGAATGGTGTAAATTAAGCGAAAAGAAATGAAGCTTGCACCTTGTCGGCACATCGTCATTCGTTTTCGGTGTCGTGGTGTGCCTGCACCGCTGAACTCACGCTGCACAATTTCTGAACTTTTGCACAGCCGTGAACCAGTTCCGACTGGTGCAGATGAATCGAACGGACCTATAACACCAAGATATGGTCACAGAACACTTATACACTAACCACACGGAGGAAGGAAAGGTGCACTACTACTTGATATGGTGGCTAGAAGGGAACGTGGGAGCAACGCAGCCAGCAGGGGACGGCGGAAAGTGTAGCCGTTGTTCATGTCAACACAAAAGGTGGCGCGCACGTAGCTTCTTAGGCGTTAGCCGCGCACACGTAGGCGTTAGCCGCCTGCCCGATCTAAAGGGTACAGCCACATCCATCCAGATCGCTCTCTCCGGTCAGAAGCATCGTAGTACGTGTACGGCGTAAGTATAAGTGTTCTGTGGTACGGCGCGCGTACCATGTGCGCCTCCACACCTACGCTTGCACCGTCGTTGGTGAAATTTTAAATCATTGCCATGGCGTGAATAACGATAAGCAAGCCTACGAACCCTGCGACGAGCAATCCTGCAAGGATGGAAAACTCGTTCACACACTGCTTACAACAAACTGAGAGCGAATAGCGTATTGGACTTCATTTCAGCGCCAAACAAATAAAAATAAACTGACTTGTGTTGGCTGCATACAATGTTTCACAGATTTAACTAACATCTTGATCAAGTTTTATGTAATGACAAGCTAAGGTTGGAAAACATGGCACGAGAAAGCAAGCGGTGTCAGCGAATGTGCTATCTAAAGCTTCATTGGTTGCATTACATGATTGAACTTTGATTTTCTTAGATTTTTTTTAGAACTTGTACAAGAATAAACACGTTGTTTTCAAGAATTTGCACGCCGTCTCTGTCACATGAGATTAAGAAAATGCACCAAACATAAAGCTTTCATCTGATAGACCTAAAGTAAACAAAAGCAAAGTTATTAAAATGATATACTGTCCCTAAAAACTGCATAGTATTTACACGGTTCACGTAAATCATGTCCTTTCGTAATTAAGGGCCTTTATTGACTCCTGCGCCTATGTTGAGGCGGCACATATAAATTAATACAAAGTGTAATCGCGAAGTGTGCTGCCTCCTGCACTTGCGTGGCAGTAGAAATAGGCCTCGCCCAATTCTGTACAAGGTTATGCGCAGCGGGATTCCACATTAACGAAGGATCCTTAAGGTTCGCCTAGTGCGAACCTTAAGACGTAGTGCGTACTTCAACCACTTTGTGAATACTTTTATTGCATGATCTTATGCGAGAGGTTTATATTGTAGATTACTATACTACAATGTAATCATCAAAACTGAAGTGATTGGCGTCCGAAAAGCTTTCGCATATAGCTGCATTGTCTGTAATTGGAGCATGCTTTAAACAACGAGCACCTATGCGTGTGGAATGATTTCAAACTTGTTATGCACCCTTTGCACGTGTACTTATGGGAATACCCACAGTAACGAGGGTGACCGGCTTCAAGTCACAAAAGTCCTTGTGATAATCAAATTCTGACGCGTGAATGCAATGCGCACTTGTACCACGTAACATTACTACGATACTACATGTTGCATTGCGAAGCCTGACGTGTACAGGGCGCGTGTGTTCGTATAAGCGTGAACGAATTATTTTCACTGAATTCACTAAGCAGACGCATGGCTGTTTGTAGAACGCCTACTTGGCACTCAAACGGGCTGAGTTCAACCACCCATAAATTATTATTATTAAACTTTTTCTTTCATTCTCAATTTTTTGGTCACGAACAAGTTGACTATATTTCGCTCAAGAGCTCCGACTTCCAATGCCTACACCGATGTCGGCATCAGGATAAAATTCATTGGTTTGAAGGCTATCGAGGTTCCTACCATCTCGATCGCCGCGCGCTTGAAGCTTGGCAGCATGCAGGGCATCCGTTGAGGCCGGCCGATCTAAGCTGCCGGCCGCAAATACGGCGGGGGGATTCTTTGAGGGGGGGGGGGGGGCAGAAAGGTAAAGAAATGCGGTGTGGAGTGCACGATAAGTGTCTCTCATGTAAGAACACCTCAACCGATACACTCATGGGGGAACGTGGATTGATGAATCAGAGTGAAGAAAAGAAAGTAGGCCAAAGAGAAGAGAAAGGAGGTGAAATCAAGAAGGAGAAAAAAAAATAAACTGGAGTTGGGGTATACACTGTATGCAGTGGGTGTTGAGAGTAGAAGGAAACTGCCGAACACTTAGTAATGTTCTGGTGGCACAGAATTTTTCAAAGCACTGGGGTTTAGGGCCAGGGTAGGAAAACTAGACATTAAGCGGTAGAAATAACTAGAAGGAGATTATGGTGACTACAATCAAGGCACGAGTGAAAATTAGATCCTTAATTGCAAACTACCAGTCCTTAACTTCACGATTCAAAGGGGAAAAAAAGATAAATCTAGTTTTTGTTCACTATCAGTATTATGGCTAGGTCGCGTTAGCCATCACCCGATCAAAAGAGGTACAGTCGTATCAATCTGTCCACCCCTCCATGGATTGCCGCCGGTTCGAGAAGAGCTTCATCGCGCATTGTTCTTAAACGTGGCGCGTATCTTGAATTACCTTATGTAATGCGAGTTTGAGAATCTTCTTTTGCATTTTGTTGACATTTCAGTGCACTAATTTTTTAAAGGGAACCGCAAATCAGACACGAACACATCTATCAGCGTGCAAAACTAGAATGGACGATGACAGAGGCAGGTTGTAAAAAGTGCTGAAAGCCAAACGTTTATTCAACTTGTGATACCATGTTGTGTATACAACGGTAGGCTTGTTGCAGTTGGTTTACACTGAACTGGCTTGCAGTTACTGTCAGTGCCCACGGCATCCAACACGCATAAAAAATAACCCAATACAGACAGTATTTTGCAGATAATTACCTTCACACCAAATAGCACATGTAAATCACAGGCACACGAAAAATCAATGAAAGACACTCTGCAACTATTTTGAAACGAAACAGCACTTACAATCACTTATTCAACTCTTATTAGTGGCACATCCTGTGGTGTAAATCAGTAAAAAAAAAGATCATTATTGTCTGTTGAAAAGGCCGACTTGTTCGCATTTTTTATGCTGCCAGATACTCAACCTGCACAACATTCTTTAAGCAAGAATTGGGTCTTGATTTTTAACGTCTGCTGGCTTATCTTGCAGAACGAGAACTGACATTTCCCAGTGACAATGACATGCTAGGGACGTCCGCAGGACACCCCCGACTGGATATCGGATATCCACTGCAGCTCCAAAACAACACCGGCGGGCATTCCTTGCAGATCGATTTGGCCCCACTTTCCTGAACCTAGGGTTATCACTTGCAAGTGCAACATAAGTCCTGAGGGACACACTGTGTACATCACAGGGAGATTAAGGGATGTCTTTTATTCGGCATATTTTCTAAAAACAGTCTCTATAGTTTTTTTTTTACTCTCTGGAGTTGTAATGTCAGAAGTTCAAAGCATGAATACAGTTTTTCTGGGCTTCTAGATGCTAATTTATTAGTTATTCTGGACATGCACTGAAATTTGTGACATTCGACTAAAGCACACACAATTTTTTTTACTGAAGTGCATTTTTGAAAAGAACTAATGTAGCACCTCAAAGCATGAAAAAAACTTACGCACGATTTGAGTTTCCGAAAAAGCAACATTTTCATTAAATTAAATTTGACAGGTGGCAACATATAATGCTATGCATCTGCTTGTGCTTCACACTTATTCTATTTAATTAGCCACATACAAGAAAATACAGACTTTCTAATTTTGTTTCTTGGATTGAAGTAGTGATCAAAGGTTCACAGGAAAAACTCTGCAAAAGAAGGTGATCTAATAAAATGTACAATTGCCTTTTCCATTAAACTCTACACTTATCATTACTGAAAGAACCTCAATCCCCCTGGTTTCTTAGCGGTTATTAAGCTCGACTCTCACGCAAAGGTAGCGAGATCAAATCTGGGCTGTGACAGCAACATTTTAAATGGAGGCAGTTATGCTATAGGACGGTGTGCTTGGATTTAGGCACATGTTAAGAAACCTCAGGTGATTGAAATTTGCAGAAACCATCACTATGGCGTCCCTCATAACCATATT